AAACTCTACTTTTTCCAAAGTCAGCGCTGCACAAAAGGTCTGAACTACTGACAAAAAAAGCTTTCGTGATGAGGGTGAAGAACAAACGGTGAGGGTCTTCCCTCAAGTTTGGCCTTTTACTTCCAAGACTTGAACTTGCAGTCTCATTGACACATCGGCTTTGCAGACCTCAAACCTGGTTTATGTCAGGGCTCAGCCTTAATCTATATTCAGGTTTACAGGCTGTGCTTTTCAGCCAGAAGTTCAAAAGGCAGAGTCATGAGATGAAGGATGGGGGTGTAGAGGGGACTTGGTGTCAGGTCCTGGGGGCTAAATGAAGAGGGGGTGGATAAACATATGTGCATAAACTGTAATAGCCTCTTCACACCCCTTGTTCACTTAAAAAACACAGAGCCTCAGGTTAGTTCCTCCACCAACCAAGTGAACATCATCATACTCTAGAAAAGGAGAGTTCCCATTAACCTTGTTTTATGAACATTGCACAGATGATATTTGTATTTCCTTAAATGTTGTGCATGTTTCTTTAATGCAAAAAACTCAATCATCCTACTTTCCTGTATCCCACCGTAACAGCAAAATAAATAACTCCCACTTCCTGCTAAACAGCTCCAATGTTGACCAAAGACTGTATGTCCATTGATGGGCCACAAATTTTGCAATTTTTTTTATCATCATAGAAAAATTGAACTGTTGTGATAACTTCAGTTTGTTTTCACATCTAAAGGCTTAATTGCTTTGTTTTAATTCAGATGTAAAAAAAGAAACTTAATGTAATTTTTCCCATCCTCGGGCTGTCCTTGTATCATTACGTCACAGACTCATTTTCCTCACAGTGTAGGTAAACAAATGTCGTACATATTGGTCTCACTGGATTACAAAATGAAAATGATTGATTTTGATTAGCTACAAGGTCAAGCCTTATTGTCATTTGGACAGAAGTGCATATTTGTCAAGTGTGTCACAAGAACATGAAAGTAGAGTTTTGTAATGATGCAATGCACAGCTTTTATGTTGATGTCTAACTGGACAGAGACTTTGTGTAGAATTAGCCTGTCGTTGTTCTTGTGCTATTCATCAAAACTGCCCATTAGTTGTACTACTGCATAGCCAGTTATACAACTAGTCTCATACTCTGATGAAAGCAGCTATTTAATTTGCTGTTTTGATTGAGTTCTTGTTGCAAGCAAAGCATCTCAGGGTTCAGTTGAAAGTTAGACACTTCTTCGAGGCAATTTTGGCTCACCCTTTTGTTTCGCGTCGAAGTGTGCACCCTCTGTTCACACTAGTCTAAATGATCTGAGCCGAGGGGGAAAAACGCCCCCTTATTGCCCAACAACTTTTCCAAATGATCCAGGTGTGAAAACACCCCTGGACTCACTTTGAAGAGCAACCCTTTACTCTAGGCACTAAATGTTGTACTCACAGACAAAAGCTTAAAAACTCAAATCATGATAATGCAGGCACTACAAAGTATCTTTCTCAGGCTTTCTGGTCACTGTTGGCATTTTCTTTTTCCAGTATTTGAATACGTGTGAAAAGGGCTGGGCAATGGGAAATCTCAACAAATTACATCAATAAACATTTAAGGCAAAGTTTGTATTCCCACATACTTCAGATTTTTCCTCTGCCTCCTCTTTTTGACCCTAATATCCCCACCTCCCATTCAATTAAAACTGACCATTTCTGAGGCTGTTGACCTGTTAGGGTCAAACTCAGCAGCTTGGGTAACACAGTAATATTTGCTGGTTAATTTTTCATTAAAAAGTAGAACCTGATCTTGGTGGTCTGACTTTTGAGTTCTTGAAGTGCTCCAGTCTTTGTGGTTTGTCGTCCAACACTTTTGCATGTAGGGACTGCAAACAGTCAATATTACATCATTAATTTGCCTTGACCTGGTTGAAGGGAAACCAAAACAACCACATTATGGTATCGGTTTTAAAGGTCTAAAGTCATTATCTGCCATGGCTGCTAGTTAAAATAACACTTTTAAATTAATTTATTTAAAATTATTAATGGGAATAAACGCAATTATGAGAATAACTGTAGTTAAAAATACTCAAGTTTCTCAGTCATCAGCTCTATCCTGGTTTTAATCATATATTGGTCATTCTGTTTACAGTGTGATTATTTATAACCTTGTTTGCATGAACTTTGAGAACAGAACCATATTGCCAAGTGTAAGTAATGCAGGCAAGAAATTAAAGGTTTTAACAGAAGAGGTCCTGACTGAAACATTATCATTGTAGACAGGGGGACAAAGTGTTTTCCAAACACATTAAAAAACTTCATATAAAATATATTAACACAGATACAGAGAGAGACAAGCATACAGTTGAATCAGATGGAAAATGAAATGGATATTGTAAAAATGTTAATAAAGGCAGTAATAAGTAAAATGAAGTTGACATATACATATCACAACAGTTATGAAGGCATCTATAAGCTTCAGAGGGAAGTCTGTAAAAATGACTTTCAAGACAGGATTTAAGAGCAGGGACAGTTCCTGCTGACTGAATCTAAAGAGGAAGTTCATGTCAGAGCGGAGGGGCCTTCACAGCACTTTACCTTTGACTCTGGGACAGTGAGCATGCCTAATGCAGCAAATCCAAGAGCCGTTTAAAGTCCACCTTTATATTCATATGCAAGGTTTTGTCCAAACTGTAATTCAGTAGTGATTTTATTTTTTTTTACTAATTCTATATGAATTTTTGAGCAACCACACAATGAAGTAAATGTCTTCTTGGTCTGAACGCACCTATTTGCGCCATTGAATTAACTCTGGTGTTTTTATGAGGTGTAACTGTGTGTGTGTGAGGTCGTATTTGTGCGTGGCTCTGTGGATGCAGTGTGGGTACCATCAGCTCCCTGCAGAAATGCCATGCGATGATGGTAATAGTAGGTGTAGAGAGTAATGAAGGAATTGATCTCCACTCAGCAGTAAGCGCTTGACATTTCAACCAAAGCCTTGAGCACCTAACCTTCCCCCTGCACACCCTCGCCCTCCGCCCCCTCACTTAAATACCTCTCTCTCCTTCCCGTCCTTTCATTTTTTGACCCATTAACAGTCAAGTTCGCTCCTCTTTTCCTTCACACAGTCAACTCTTTCACCCCTTTGGCTCTCTGTCGCCTCAAACTTTAATCGCTTTCTCTCTCCTTTATGCTGATAATTTCTTTCACTCCTGCTCTCTCAACCTGTCATACCATCAGACACACTCACTTCTTTCTCTCTCTCCATCTTTCTCTATTACTCCTCTCATCTCACACTCACAAACACCGATGTACACAGACGCAAACACACACACTCAAGCACATACACCCCAAGCCACTGGTCCCATGGGTCAGCCCATATTAGCTTACTTGTTAATACTTGGACGGCTCAGGATCAATACTTAATCAACAAGTAATGGGATTCCTCAGTCATCCCATATGATCTTTCAATAAAGACTTGAATCTGTCTTCACCAGACCTCCCCACCACTCCTCCCCCCGTACTGGGGCTTCTTCATGGACTAGGGAGGGTGAGAGCGTGAGAGTGAGAGAGTCAGCTCAGGCTCTTTCTCAGGCTAAAGGAGGAGAAGGAGGAGGAGGAGGAGCTGGAGGCTAACTACAAACTAAAGGTGTGTGTCAATATATGTGAAACTTCTGACTATGAGGTAGATGTCTTTGCCCTGAATGACTAAAAGCCTCAGCTAACACTGCATTGTCATTAATTCTACATGTTTAGTGGGCGCAACAGATTTGGAGCTTTGTGTGACATTGTGTTTCTTTTGATTCAGCTGGGATTTAACAATGGAAAGCAACCTGATTCTGTGATTGGATAAGTAGGTGTCTCTAATTTATGCATAAATTATAGCCTTAACAAAATAAGGAGGTGTCAGCCCCAGCATTCTCATCCCTGAACACGTGTTTTGTTACAGATTACAAAGACAATTAATTAATAAATCAAATAATATCCAGGCTGTTAAGAAGTCTATTTCTGCAGGTGTCTTAAAGGTGGGGTAGGCAGAAGTGCCAGTTTTCGGTAGGAATCTTGAATGTAAACACTATCCCTCCCAACCAGTTTTCCTCTCCCTCTCTGCTCCAGCAAGCCCTGCCCACAAACAGACACTCCCGCTCACTCGTATCATTCCAATTAAATTCAGATATAATGCAGATAAATACTTTGGATAATTACAAATGGGGGCCAGTGAATGTTAAAGTAAAAAGCATTGCTGCTACTGTAGATGCCAACAAACTACCAGCAAACACAATGTTTGCAGGACTTCTACAACTAGGACGAAGTGACATACTCCAGGACCCGAGGTCAACAGTTTAGCGGCGCTACAACACGCAGCAGGTCCTGTTTGACAAGAAACACTTCTATTACAGAGACTTAACTTACTTTGTTAAAGCGGTTTACCTGTCCAGCAGAAAGGTTACAGGGTCCTTAAGATCCCAAAGCATTCCCCATCGTTTATGCTTCATTGATGTTGACCCGGCTTCTTAGCGCTTGTCTCGTCTACCTCCATTTTAAGCGCCCGTTATTCCACCAGAGACTCCGGTATTTACTTTGTTTTATTGGTTGTGTTTTCTGTACTTTCTGGTTGGTTTCTACTGTCCAATTTTATAGCACACTAACTTTGTTTGGGCTCGTGCACATTATTGGAGGACGTGGAGCGTGCCTCACAACATGAGGGAGCAGCGTCTGCCTCACAACCAATCAGGTTGGGGGAGGCGTAAAGTGGCTTTGTTTACAATCAGAAAGAGCGGGCCGTCCAAAAAATTTAAATTATCGACTACATAGACATAACAAAAGACAGCGATATTGTGATATTCCCAAATGTCATGTCTGATATTAAAAGCTTTTTTTGTATATACACCACAAAAAAAGGTACTTCTTTAACGGAATCCTGCCAACACCACCTTTAACATAGGGTCCAAGGAGTTTCTTACGTCTGGTTCACACTGGAAGCGCCGCGCGCGGAACGGAAGCGCCGCGCACAGAGTTTCAGATCGGCGCCCATGTTAACCTATGAGACTGTTCACACAGCACGCGCGCGGAAGCGCCGCGCGCGGAACGGCTCGCGCTCTGGAGCGCGGCTGCTCCGCTTCTCTCTATTTTTGGCGCGAGCCGCGCGCGCCGATGTAAAGCTCAACAGAGCAGATCGGACCAGACAGGAAGTCAGGAAGGAGATGCGAGAGAATCCGGTCAATTTTCAAAATAAAGTAAATTTCAATAAATTAGAAAAAGATTGACGGTGTTGCTTGTCGGTCTATTTTTTTTACCGATGAACACACACACACACACACACACACACACACACACACACACACACACACACGGAGGGAGAGCTGCAGAGATTCAGTGATGTTATTGAGACAAAGAGGGGGGGGACTTTATTACGATACAGTCAATAGCCTCGAGCTAACAAGGCTATACATACAACGGAGTCAACAGACTCCCCAATTTATTCGTCGTTTACCCCTATATAATAATTTAAAACAATACTTGAAGATGCTGTCAATATTTAATTCATGTTTGACGAAATAAAAACGTAAATAAATAGTGATTTACCCATTTTTAAAGCGCTCGTAAGTGTGGAAAACTGAGGGCAGACGGAAACGGCCGAGCACTACCGGGCTCAGTCGATGTCTGACCGGCATGTCAGAGCGCAGCAGAAAGCGCTTCCTGTGTGAACAGCCAAGCGCGAGCCGGCGCTGCGCGCGCGCGCGGCGCTTCCGTTCCGCGCGCGGCGCTTCCAGTGTGAACCAGACGTTAGACTCTGGCAACAAGACTTAAGTGGACACTTGTGGTACTGTGCATTTGAAGCACTTCTACTTGGCTTCATTTTACACACACACACACACACACACACACACACACACACACACACACACACACACACACACACACACACAAACATGCAACAAACGTGGCAAGCTTTAGCACAAAATAGCCATAGGAGCTTTGAAATAGAGAGTTTTGTATGTGTGCCAGGCTTCTTTTTTGGAAGCTGGAGAGAAAGAGGAAACGTTGTAAGAAGAGTGCAGGATCTGACAGAAGCTAATGTTCGTGGTCATGAGTTAAACTGAACATGGGGTGCATGCCCAAAGTGCTGGGTCAGGGTGGCCCAGGTCCCGGACTTATGTCTCCTTGCTGTTGCTTTGGACACATTATTGAATTTTCCTTCTGGGATTAATACAGTTCTTCTTATTCTTATCGCCACTGTCGTCCCTCTATATCACCACCAGAACACGTCTTGATGAACTTTTCTTTTTCATACTTCACCCTGCTAATGATAATGTGCGTTACTTGAAATTCCACTCGAGTACTTTTCTGTCGAACTTGCTTTTGCCCAAATCACCTGTGATATTTCTTTATTTTACAGAGCTTGGCAGGAGTCTTCTAAGGTGTTTTGTTTTCAAGCCTGTGTTTAATTGGCACAATAACTTCCCCTCGTCTTTTTTTTTAATTATTTTCCCTTTATTAACATTTTGGCAGAATCTCACTCTCTTCCTCTCTCTGATCTGTATCTGATTCAAGCCTAAAGAGATTTTTTCCTGCTCTGTGGCCTTTTCTTCCCTCTTACTTCCTCCTTACTGCTGCCAACAAAACACACTTTAACGCACACAAACTGTAAAACAGTGAATGCATACAAGAGAACCATTATGATGTTTTTTGTGAACACTTAAACAGAGAATCAGTTTTTTGGAACCCTGACTTCCAAAAAGTTGAAAAGCTGTTCAGAGTGTCATTAAAGACTGATTCTGATATAGTTTGCTAATCATTGAAATTAAATATTTATATTCTAGATAGTACATGTGAAATGTTGAAAATAAAGACTGATTTAAATTTGATGCCGGCAACATGTTTCAAAAAGGATGGAATAGATTATTTTGTTTAATGCAAGAGCAAATGTTTTTTATGAGTAACAAGTCAGGACTGCAGACAGGTTAGTTTGGGACCCAGACTCTTGTGGTTTGACATTTTATTACTAAAATATGTAAGGTCTCCTCTGAAAAAGAAATTGTTTGCGTGGCAGTATGTGTTGCTCCAAAACCTAATTTGTTAAGAATGTATGCCGTCATTTCAGATCTGCAAGCTGCTCATGCCATTGGCACTCATGGAAACTGGCTTCTGAGCTGAGCACTGATAACAAGCTCTTAGTTTGAAGGACACATCATCCATGATTTACAGAAAGGACATCAAATTTGGATTAATCAAACCACAGGACAGTTTTCCACTTCTCAGTCCATCCTAAGTGGAGAGTTGCCTGCGTTCTTGGATTAGTTGTAGAGTTTTAACCTCCATTTGTAGATGCAGCAAATATCACATGCCAGGTTTTCATTGAGATTTTGAGGCCATTGTGGGATTCCCACTACAGAGTCATGTCTGTTTCTGATGCAGCACCTGAAAATTATGACCACTTAGTATTGGTTTTCCACCATATCACTATTGTAAAGAGATTTTTTTAGGTTACATCATTTTTTTAAAGATATTTTGCACCTTAGATTATGAAATCTCTGGTTTTTAATTCTTTGCCACACCAAAGCATAAGGACCACTTGAGGGAAAAGAAATCAGTAGGCCTATTGGTTTCACAAACAAGGAGATACTCAATCTTTTGTCACATCAGCATCACATTGTCATAAGTGTCAGGACCTTAAAAAGAATATGCAAGAAAATGCAACTTTTCAGGCTGACTTGGAGGAAATTGCTGCAGAGTCTAAATCCATCAATCTAGCCGTTAATAGCAATGCCATAGGGTTTCTAGTTCATCACATGAATCCATATGCCATAGGAGGTTGGGGCCTTTGCAGGTGAAGGTAAATGTCTGTTTTAGAGTTGCCGTACTCTGGATCCAACATCTTGATTATCAGTCGGATTGTTTGTTGAGAAACCACAAAACCCCTCTAAATGGTCCGCTGATACATCTACTGATAACCCTGCAGTCCACCAGTTCCAGCCATTTTCCCCTCCACAAAAGCAGCGATTTCCTTAGAGTCTGCTTGGTTCTTGCAGAAAAGTTTCATTTTCTTACATATTCTTTTTACAGCCCTGAAACTTATGACAATGTGATGCTGACGAGTTAAAAAATTAAGTGTCTCCTTGTTTATGTACTGTACTATACTGAAGTACAATAGCACAAATTGCTCCACGGGCCTCATTTCAACAACTCTCCTCTGAAACAACAAGTTAGAATATTATGGGTTTATTCTTGTAATATGACAAATTTAGTCTCGTAAATGTATGACTTCATTCTCATAATATTATGACTTAAAATTTCTTTAATACTATAACTTTATTCTTTTAATGTTATGACTTAAAATTTCTTTAATAGTATGACTTTATTCTTGTAATATTATGAATCAAAATCTCTAATAATATGACTTCATTCTCATAAATGTTTGACTTTATTCTCAAAGTCTGTGATGTTTTTCTCTCAATATGGTTCAAATACTCCATTGTAGTTAGCTCACATAGTCTCTCACTGTTCTTCAGTCTTTCCTCTTGAAGGACTCTGAAAAATCTATATATATATATTTATTTTATGCTGTCATGTTGCTAACCTGTTATAAATTAGCCTTGTAAGTTGGGACATTTTGGTCTTCTTTTGTTTGTTTTTGCTTTTTTTTTCCATTGGAATCTGTGTATGTAAACTTTTTTTTAAAACTGTGGTTGTAAGAATATAGGGTGATAACTTGCTTTAAAACAGAAACAAGGATTTGCTCCAGAAGTGAAAGAAATCCCATACCACTGTTTGTTTTTTTTCACCGAGTTGATCCATGTTGACTTCAGCGCTCTGCATTTTTTTTCCAAGCATTTAGCTGAACTAAAAGCATCAGCATTATCTTTTAAGGGCCTGTGTCAAATGGAGGATATCACAGCAAGCTGAAGGATAATTTAGAAAGGGCATTCACCTTGCTTTGACTGTGGTTTAAAAACCTTTGCAGTCAAATAAGAAAAAAGGCAGTTGAACGACAGTTTCAAAGTTTCAGAATTAAAAAAAGTGAGAGAGAGAGAGACAGAGAGACAACCAGACTAGTTAATTAAATTGAGCCTTCCCTGTCTGATTGCTTTTCGGGGTTGTGGAAAGTGTGTCTGGGTGGCTCTGAAGTAAGCCTCTCAAAAACAGACTATTGGACACCAACACCTAGAACAACTGCAGCCTGGAGGTATTTTGAGAAGTTTCCATTGTCTTGGAGAAAACACAAAAAATCCTTATTCTTGGCAGCATTTAAACCGCAATGGGGCACTTAAACTCTCCACTGGAATCCAGACTAATGAAATAAAAGTTCAGCAAGGATCAAATGAAAGAAGTCTCCAAAACATCTTGGACATGCTGGAAATTCTACAAAGAAAAGGCAAAGAAAATCAAGTGATGTTTAACTTTAGCAACTCAGAGACAGGTGGTGAAAAAAAAAAGAAAAAGAAATGCATAACGTTCAGACGTGTCTCGTCAAATCAAAACAGGGGTATTTGTGTTTGCATCTCTGTGCAAGCCAAGGTCATCCAGGTGGGTTTGTTTGTGAGGTCAGCCCTTTGGTCCAGTTTAAACTTGGTCAACAATTGGCGCATAGATTCTCAAGAAACCTTGCGCTGACACCTGTGGTCTGAAAAGTTGAATTAAACGACTTCTTCAACTTTTTCTGGGTCAAAAGAAGGATGACCTATTTGGTTTTTGTTGAAATGTCTCCACATCTCCACTCTTCTATGATTCCTACGTAGTTTCAGCAAAACCATAAAACCTCAGAATCCTTGACCTTTGACCTGCCATTCTCTGCAGGCTGCTGTCGCTCAATGTTATTTTTAGTGTGAAAAGAAATACACTGTAATGCAAAAACGACCAAATAGATGCTAGGTGCATCTGCTGTGGGAGTCCAGTAGATTTTTTGTCTCCACCTATGTAGACTGAACATTTTACTTTCACGTGTTTAATGGGAGACACATAAGTGTGCTTGTTCTTGTGTGTGTGTTTAACCTAAAGTAAGAAAATGGTTTATCTAGTTTGGTTGTGTCATAAACTCTATTGTACTCTATTGAATGCTGAGTGTGTCAGCTGTTTGAAGGATTAAATTTCAGCCAATTTAAAGCAACACGCAATTTAATATCTTTTAACGTAGCAGAATCCCCGCTACAGCTGCGATGGTTATTTATATTTAATCTCTCCACCTTTCCGCGTTATGAAAGAACAACGACTCGCGCTTGTTTAGCGGGCGCGCTGCTTGCTGCTGTGTTGTTTCCGCTAACGGCGACATACAGAGAGGTGAGTTTTTTTAAGGGCAGAACTCACGGCTGTGTCACTCACTGGTGTACTGCACCGGCAGGACGGGGCTCCGAAGCACTGACTGATTCAGTGAACGAATCTTTTGAATGAATCGTTTTAATGAACGGATTCTAAAGATTCATTACAGTCAAAGGAACTGTTCTTCCCTTCACTAGTTCACAGTTACGAGCCGTTCATTGGTGAGCCAATCAAGGGAAGTACAATTTTCCATTCACATTTTTTTAGTCTAGTTTTATTTATATACTTATATTTCATATATACTATGTTTTCTTATTTATTATCCTAATATTTTTTCCTGCCTTGTTGAAATGTTTTTGTGTGGAAAGGTTACAGTTAAGTTGTTTGGCAGGGAAGTTAACTATTGCTTGCATAGTTTTCTTTGTGCTGCAAAGTTTTTTATGTATGGGAAAATAGTGATCAAAATAGTGATCCTACTATCAAAGTAGTAGGATCAAAGTAAAATATTTACAATAAAACACAAGCCAAATAAAATTGTAATCAATATTTCAGATGGATTTTCACCAATAGAGTATACATTGGTGGGGTGGGTAGGTTTGAATTACTCTGATCCATATCTTATAACTGCTGTCAGCGACTGTTTCCATGATAAAAATTAAGTTACAGATTGACTTCTGAAAAATAAATGAATATAACAAGCCAGTCTTTAGAACGGCTCTTTGAAAGCAACAGCTCCTCGAGATCCAGCTCCCTTCAAAGAGTCATAAATCCCATTTCTGTTCTTTAGCCCTGTCTGTTTGCGACACCACTTCATGCGTTTTCTTTGACCATACTTTGTGCAGCTAAAGTGTTAACACTGGTATAAGTTGACGCGCCAGCAGACAGTAAAGAAAGAATAACTTTTACTTGGTGTCTTGCAGACTCTAGCATATGGATTCATTGTATTCTGTCAGCTTGTAATCTTTAAGGATGATCCAGGAGTGTTTTCTAATGTTGCTCTTGTCGTAAGTTGCTCTGCATAAGCGCGTCAGCTAAATGCCTGGAAAAAAAAAAAAGAAAAGAAAAAAAGTAATATGTAAATGCAGCATACAAAAAGCTGTGTAGCTGTATTAAGTTGAGCAGCCTCGACATGGGTGCAGTGTGATAAATCCCAGCAGAGTCGCATGCTAAACAGCTCCAACCTGGCTGCAGCCAGCCAGCTCCCTGTAAACAGGCTTTGTGTCACCATTGTCATATCTCAGCGCCATTAATATACATGAGAGTCTGAGGCCTTTAAGACTCTTCAGAGAGAGAGAGAGAGAGAGCTGGCAGCCTCCCTCTCCTCTTTGTTACTGTCTCTCTTTCCCTATCCCTCCTCTCCCCTCCCTCTACCCCCATCCCCAAATGTTTTTGGCACTTTAACTCGTCTACTCTTACTACCTTGCTCTTTGCACTATTCACTTTTTTTAAACGTGTCCTCTTTATCATTTTTCTTTCTTTCTTTTTTTTTTCTTGTTTTCTTGCTTTTCCATTCGGGCTCATGCAAAGTCCTTTTCACCAAATAAAATCAGCCATGTTACATTTTCCTGCTCTCTCTTCTACCTTTGTGAATTGCATTTCCTTCCTTAAAGGCTGAAGCAACGTGATAAATGTTCCCTCACCTTCTGACTGCAGACCAAACTATTCCTGTAGTCCAGTGGTTTCTGTTTAATAGTAAAGGTGTTAATAACATGGTCGTAATGAGATGGGAACATTCGCAACTTCAAAAAAAATAAAATAAAATAAAATTCTCAGATGAAAAATGAAAAGTGTGACAGAAACATGTTGTCTCAAAAATGTAGAGGGTGGTGTTTGTTTCTATTTTCAAACACATTTACGACAGAGTAAAAGAGCCACCTCTTAACAGAAAATAATGAGATTTTTATATTAGGTTTGGAATTTATTAGAATAAAGCCAAAATAAGGAAGATCTGACTTCCTATCAGAGTTTATCTTTTTCCTTACCCTCCTAATTCCTTTCCTCTCTTCAATTCCATTATTTCCTTTCTTCCCTTTTCATTTTTTCCTTCCTCTTTTATTTTCATCTCCTTCTATTCCTGCATTTTTTGCCTTTCTTCCAGCCATCTCCTTCCTCTCTTTTCTTCATGCCATATCCTTTCTTTTCTTCCCCTTTTCCTTTCCCTTTTCTGTCTTTGTCTTCCTGCTCTTCTCCCTTTTCCTGCTCTCTTACTTTCCTTTCTTCCAGTTTTCCTTTCTCTTGCTTCTCTTTCTCTTCTTTCCTTTCTTCATCGACTTTCTTCCTGTTGTCTTCTTTTCACTCATTCTTTCTTTCTTTTCCTTACCCTTTTCTTTAATTTCTTCTTTCTTCCCTTCCTTCAGTTTTTCTTCCTTGCTTTCTCTTTTAACTCTGTTTCCACTTTTTCTCTCTCATTTTTGTTTTATTTGACCTTTGCATTCACGTCCTTTTTTCTTTTTTGATTTTCTTTATTTTGTATTCATTTTCATTCCCTCCTCTTTTGTTCTTTCACTTTTTCTATTCCCTTTTCCTTATGTTCTGTATTCCCTTTTTTTAGTCCTTAAACTTTTTTTGTTTCCTTTTCTATCGTTCCCTTTGAATCCTTTTCCCCCTTTTGTTTCTTCCTGTCTCTTATTTTCCCCTCCTTCAGTTTTTGATGTTGTGTTTTCTTTTACCTTTTCTCTCTCTCTTCTTTTCAGCAGCCTCAGTCTATTTTCTTGTTTTTCTTTTCCTCTCTCTTACAAACGGCACATCTTAATCCTCTTCTTTTTCCTCTTTCTTCTGTTTCTTCTTCATGAGCTGTCAGGGTTTTTATTTCCCTCCCCTTCTCTCCACTTTGAAATGCCTCCTGTGCATTTCTTGTATATATTTCTATACATATAACAGAAATACAGGAGAGTGTATGTGTGAATTTGCGTGAGTACAGAGAGCACGCAGAGAGAATACATTTTCACTGTGGACGCCCACTGTGACTCGTCTGTCGTGGATGCATAAATGTATGTGAGGCTGCATTTGTTTACAATGACTCCTACCACTGTGCTACAGTACATTACATAACTCTGAATAATGTGGTGAAGAGATCCTCTCCATCACTTCATCCACTGCCTTCTCTCTCTCTCTTTCTCACCCCCCCACCCACCCACCCCCATGCTGTCAGATAGAGTGATTTATACAGGGTGTGTTTCCCTTTCCTTATCTCTCCTCCCTGCCTCCCTCTCTCTCCTGCTTTCTTTCTGTCAGTTGTCTGTTGACTCTGTGGTCGCCTGCACTGCACCGCTCTGTGTGTATGTGTGTGTGTGTGTGTTTGAGCCTGTGTTGAATCAGGAAGTGTGTGTGGACATAAAGGAAACATGGTCAGGCGCAGAGCTGGTTGAGTTGACTTACTGCTAAGTTGGTGGTTTCCTTTGTCCACGTCTTTGTTTAAAATAACTCAGAGCGTTTATGTGAACCTGTCACGGCGTTGGTAGCCACCAGTCAGTCATGATTCTTCCTCTTTCAGTGATTTACAGAAACCAAGAATGGGAACGGATGTGTGCCCTTAAAACCACACACACACACACACACACACACACACACACACACACACACACACACACACACACACACACACACACACACACACACACGCTTAAAGAAAAGCGTGTTTGCAAAGGAAAAACTGATAATTTTGCAAATATCTGAATTTGGGTTCATGGGTCGCTGAAGCCCATCCTCGCAGTCATTGGCTGGTCACTAGTCTATCACATGACTAACATATGGACTGACAGCCATACCTACACACAAATATGTAATACCGAAAGACCAGTTAAACTGCCAGGCATGTTTTTGGACAGCAGGAGGAAGCAGCAGGACCTGATTGGAACCCAGGCATGCATGATGTGGGCACAAGTCAACAACAGCTTAACACCACTGTGTATCAATCTGATAGCAAAGAAGTATAAACTTTGTTAAATGTGTTACTTTTATTCAAAATGTTAAGATTAACAATCACAAACAATGGGGATGTTTCGACACAAATTTTTAAATGGTTTTAATGACATTCGAGAGACACTATCGATCCATCCATCCATTTTCTACGGCTTATTCCCATTGGGGGTCGCATGGGGACTGGAGCCTATCCCAGCATCTTCGGGTGAAGGCAGTGGACACCCTGGACAAGTCACCAGTTCATCGCAGGGCTGACATACAGAGACGAACAACCATCCACACTCACACCTACGGGCAATATGAAAGTGGCCAAATACCTAACCCCACTTCTGCATGTTTTTAGGATGTGGAAGGAAACCAGAGTACCCGGAGGTAACCCACACAGACACAGAGAGAACATGCAAACTCCACACAGAAACACCCTGACCCGGATTCGAACCCAGAACCTTCTTGCTGTGAGGCGTCAGTGCTAACCACTACACCACTGTGCCACCCTGAGAGACACTATCATTAAATTATACTTCCAAAATAATGTGAATGCGCAGTTTTAAGATGCTTTGAATGCGTACAGAAAAAGATGAGGACCATGTCTAAAAGAGGTATCTGGTTTTGAAGGTATGTACAAGTACCCTGTTGGTTTTTATGCATGTGTAAGTGCAAATTGTCTGTATAAGTACACCCCCTTTTCATAAAATACTCACTTAAAACACACACATACATATACACACAAACACACATGCATCTGTGCTTGAGGGTACTGGGGTTATTTAAGGAAATAAACCAGCAGAAATCAATATGGCAGTGTAAAATCAAGTGTTCTTGTACGTGTATGCCCACTTGGTAATGTGAGCGTGAATATAAAGCTTGACCTCAGAGCTATTGTTTGATTATAGAGTCAGCCTAAGCTGAATGAAGATAAACACCACCTGGCACTCCAGCAGAAGTTGTTGGTGATTCTTCATATGCACACGTAAGATATCTCCTGTGGGCTTTGGCCTCTTCAGTCCTTTTCTGCCTCCTCAGTGTTCATTAATTCACTTTACAAAGGTGGTCTGTAGAAGAAATGAAAAGAGAGCAGATTCAACCATTAACTTGGTTAATGAAATGTAATTATCACTGATAAGCGTAACAGCCAAATCTACAAAAGCCCCTTAAAGAGTAATTTCTCTGCCCTGAATGACCCTCGACCACTGACACTGCACAACACCAGCATTGACAAATCGTTATTTCAGCTTCTCTTTATCTAATCTTTTATTTATACAAGGGCCTGTATCCACCAAGGATCTTATCTCACCACAAGGAGTCCCCTTAATAAATTTAAAACTTTCCTCCTCTGTGCTTTTTACAAAGCTGCTAAGAGGAACTTCAAGACAAGAACAACAGCCCAGTTGTGTCAGTCAGCTGATACTCCAAACAAGCTGCAGTCAGAGTATTTGTATTTTCAGACAGTGGATTGACAACCACAATTTGGATGGGAACCTCTACATTTTTTTGGCACACATCAGACTGTAAAAAGTAATCACTTCTCTAGACTGTGAAATACTTGTATTATTTTTTAAGACCAACACTTTGACATTATTCTGCCTAGAGTCTGTGCTACAGTGCAGCTGAGACCCAGCTGATGGACATGGTCCCCCAAAAGTAGCTACCTTCAGGAACACCTGGCTCTAATAGGGAAAGAGAGCAGAGATCCATTTAATCCATGTTATGTCCAAAAATACACCATTTAACAACACAGGGCCGGATCTAATAAGATCCCACATAAGGAGCGTTAAAGTACGTGTGTAAACAAAACAATTACACGGGCTGTAAGTAGGCGTTGAAGTGAAAAATCAGCCCTTAGGTCATCCAGCAGCTCAAAGATGGCATTGCTGGACAGACGACATTCCATAACGCTGTGCCAGTTTACACCTGTCTTTCAAATGTGCTAAATATAGACGCAAACCACAACCCCACCAACCACAATCAGTCTAGGGGTTTGATAAATCACATTGCATGTGCTAACGATTGACATATGGATCTCCTCCTCTCAGTATTTTGCACGTTCTAATAATCTACATACATTCTGCATACTGACGAAGGCAAACACGCTAAATCGATGGGGCGTGATATTTTTCTCATTTGCATGTTTTTTTTGTACATGTAAACCTTTAGTTGATCAGGCCCAAAGTGACTTAATCAAACCTCCCTGCGCACTAATTGTGCACCTCTTAACTAACACGAGGTCAAACACATGATGGTTATTCACGTTGCTCATGCACTTACACCAGGCGCCTGATCTTATCTCTATATTTCGAATTTTCCAATCAACCGTCTTTAATATGGCTATATTAATGGGTAGATCACAGCAAAAACTTAAGACCTACATTAATTCCGGTATTATTCAGTCCTCCAGGAAGGTTCCAAGTTCCAATCCAGCAATCTTGATATATCTCCCCACCTTTTAAATCCCTTTTAACTTTGGCGAAATATGGTAACCTAACTCATCTCCTAATGTATTTCTCTGCAGCTTCCACTGCAGGGAAGTTTAGTTTGTTTCTGAAAGTCTCCTTCTTTATTCTTTTACTATAAACGCAGCAGAATACTCTCTCTATTTTTCATTTTCAACTTAAGTCAATATAGTTTCCTGACATATCCTCTCCCTCTCTTCCTCCTTGTCGTCCTCTGTTGCGTGATCCACATGTTGTTTGCCTCAGTCTTATCCTCTTGTGGAGCCTTCACTGTTGTGACAGACTACATTTAGTAATATAGACCCATAATTGCACAAGTCGTTATATATAATTTGTAGAGCCACTTGATTGCTCTCCCTCGCTTCACCTCCATCCGTCAGCACTCCATCACATCACGTCCCTCCCTCCCCTCGCTCCTGTCCTCCCCGCTGATGTCTAATGTTGCTCTAAAGACAAGCTGCATATGCTGAGGTTACAGTGAGAGTGGTTGCATGCATGCTTCTGTATGCATGATTGATGTGTGTGTAAGTGTTAGCATGCAATGTGAAGTGTTGACATGCAGACACTCTACATACTTTGACAGCTGTAGTTAAAAATAGATGCCTCAATCAAACCATCACAACCTAACATTTATTAGAGATTGAATCAGTTAAGACATTTTTTTTTTTTTTGTTAGTTTTTTTTTTTCTTTTGTCAGAAAACAATCTGAAATGACCAAGAAGCTGTTTTAAAACACTTTGAGAACATGTCTGGGGCAGAAAAGAGATTAAATTAATTATGTTTAAAAGATTATCATGCCAGATTTGTCTGTGATTTGAGGGACGTTAAAAGTGGTTTTACTTTCTCTGATCTGCTCAGAAGAAAATCAGGATTGCTCTGATTTGAAATTGGAAATATTCAACATGTTTAATATTTCTGATCAGAAACCCAGTTGTATTTAGAGAATCAGCCAACAGCTCTTGAGAAACATCAGCCAACTGAGAAGCAAGCTGATTGACGCAGGATACAAAAGAAACAGAGCTTTGTGGAAAGTAGTAAACACAACTGACAAACTTAGCTTGATGTTAGAAATGAAGGACAGACTTGATCATTTGTGACAACGACAGGAGCATTTATGAAAGGAATCAACAAATTACCACCGTAAAGTCACCTGCCTCGAACGGTAGCCAAAAAGAGCAGACTCTCCTTGGCTGAGCGCCATTTTTATTCATTTATTTATTTGTTTATTAGAAGCACACAAATGGTGCATTTCCACCTAGTGGTCTGGTTTGGAAGGGTATAATTTGGTATGGTTTGGTAGTGTAATCCCTGATTTTGTTTGCATCACCACAGTCAAACGTGTCCCGGAGTGCTTCAGATCCATCTCTGTACTTCTCTAACTGATCAGCTGCTATCTGTGTGTAAAGCATTAATTTTTTGAAAACAAGATACTTTTCTATTCTGACCACCTTGACACTCAGTACGTTTACATGACACTCGACAAAACTGAATTATTGCCTTACTCTGATTAAAACCGGACAACTGAATCCATGTAAACACCTTAGTCTGACTCTAATCAGAGTTTAAGGACTCTGATTGGAGTCGGACAACTCTGATTAAGACACCCAGATAATGCGATTGGAATTCGATTTTCGGAGTATGATCGGACAATGCATGTGTATGTACGCCACGCCCCCGGAACAAAAACTTCAGAGAAGAGGAGTAGCGTGTATCTCGTCTGCCAAAAAAGTAACGCGTACATCATATACAACAAAAACATTGCTGTACGATGCTCCATCTTCTTGCTTGAAAATGCCCAGCAGCAGTTGTAGCCACCTCTGACGTCTAGCATGGACCTGCTGTTGTTGTTGACAGTTGTATGGGGTCGGAAACAGCCCTGCTGAAAAGACCCATATCACCCCCTGGTTTTGGGAAGGAGGACACGTTCACGTCAATAATTCAATTTTCTCAGCTTCAAGTATAAGCGGATAAGGAGAGAAGTTCGATTCGGCAAACAAAACGAATTAGTAGCTCAGTCCAATTAAGCTGTGCATGAAAACGCAGTACTGTTGTGACACCAGTAAACATTCCCTGATGTAAACACAAACATACTTAAAAAGGAGTCTTAATGTCACTGATCAAATACCATCAGGCTAGGGGAGATACAATCCTGTATGATCTCCTCTGCTGAAATGTTGAAACGAAACTTAGTGCTAAAAAGTTGACCTAGCAAGCATATCAATAATACACTTTTAATGGTGTTCAGGTTATTCATCAATAATTCTAGAGCACTCAAAGCATGACAGTGCTCAGTAACATTGTAATTTATGTAACTATTTAGTTCTCCCTTGAGTCTTAAACTATTGCAGCATATGGATCATGACAGAGAGGCTGCATATCATATTATTGCTTAGCTTCAATTACTATACTTGTATTACAAGTGCCAGTATCTGTAGTTTTCTTGTAGCCTCACAGACTGATTTACATGTACAATATCCATCTGAGAAATATATGATTTTTTTGTCCTTTGTCATGTTTTCAGGAGCAGAGTTATCTATGGAGCAGAGAAAAAAGTTAAAAAAAGGTGTCATGTTACCATCCTCAAATCCATTTGATGTTTTAAAACCCTGAGAAGAACAGCGAAATCTTCATCCTGACACATTAAAGGTTATTGACAAAACTGTGAACGTGTATTTTTGATTAAATTCTGCGTAGAAGTGGACAAACTTTAAGTGTTTTAAAATTGCACTCCCCTTACATTGATCTTTAAAGCCATCTGGCAGCGGTGGTTATCATTTTATGATCCCTGGGCCTCACCCTCCGCTCTCTCACTCTGTGTCTGTATCGTTGTCCTGTATCAGTGCACTGTGTTGCAACTGTGTGTGTCTACCATCTGTTATAATCAGCCATGAATATTGCAGAGGCCTCGACACTTTAAACGGCTTTATGTACCCTATGGATGTTGACATGCATGGGAGAAGTCATGTGCACCAGAGATGCACTCTGTGTGCGTTTACAGTTGGCCCATTGATTTATAATTAACGCCGGGGTTACTGCTCCAGCACACACACAGCTGGCCTGCTCTCTGAGGTCACAACAGTGTGTGTGTGTTCGTGTTTGTGTATGTATGTGTGTGTTTGTGTGTGACTTTGTTCTGACAGTTGCTGGAGTGTCCGAGGGGTGTGTGTTGCAGTGCAGAGAAAGAGGTGTGCGCGGACATTCATTTCATACTGCATGTAAATATGTGAGTGTATGTTTTGCCTGTGCTCGAGAAGTGAGCATATGTTCCTTCTAAATAGGTTTTCTTTGAGTGTTTGCATGAGTGAGTATGCACAGAGAGTAACCATGGCAACCACTTTAGATATCCCTGCAGACCGTGACACTGAAGTCCCATCAAATGTATTGATTACAGCAGCCATCTTCACCGCTCTAGACAGAAACTCTCTCTCACACACACACACACACACACACACACACCAAACACACAAATACCACTAGGCTGCACTCTTGCAGCTACTCTCCTCAACACACAGCAGATTTGATGATGGGTGGGTGTGTCTCCACACAGTCTTACCCCAAATGAGCAACAGCAGATCTTCCCAAGGCCTCTCTCTTTTTTTTAATGCAACTTTTTCAGACTGGTTTCACAAGAGTTGTCCTTGTTAAAAAGATAATTTTTAGAAGTTGTGTTTATTTTGCTATCTTCACATTCTTTTATCAACTGACATGAATGAGCTGTATTGATGTGGAGGATGAAAACAGAGACTGTATTCAGAGGTTTCGGCTCAAGTTTGCCCCTGAGTAAATCATGACACTTCAGTCTGCTGGTTTGATTTTCCGGTCACAGAAACTCAAAGATTAAAGAAACTTTTGTCTAAATGAATGTAATCGTTGTTTGAAGATCTTACATGAACTTGAACATTTCTTAAAAAATCTTTTGAGTTGTCCAACTTTCAAAAACATTTTTATATCCTTACAAACTGATTACCACTGCAAGCCTGAAATGATTTTTCCTTTTTAATTTGTGCGCCGGAATTAAGCCCAAACCTCGTAACCTCAAGGATTTACTGATGTCATTGAAGAGATTTAGTGCTGCTCTTTCATAAAGTTCAGTCAACCTTGTTTCTCAGAATTGAAGTTCCTATGATCCTAAAAGGAGTCATGGCCACAATTCAGACTCAACTGTTATATCATTTTCTCTGCAAACAGTTTAAGCAATTGAAGATCGATCGATCGATCTGTCTGTCTGTCTGTCTGTCTGTCTGTCTGAAGTCAAACATTTACTATGAATCAGGAGTGGATTCAGAAGGGCGGAAAAGACCCAAATTGAAATCTGATTGGCCATCCAAAGAGCCTCCCCAGAATCTTCAACTGTGTCTGTCATTTTTTTCCTTTTTATTATTTTTATTTGTATTAATTATGATTTTTTTAATTGAATACACAACAGTTTTTTTTTAGCCTTAAGGAATTAAGCTAAAAAGATTGATTTATATCATTTTAAGTTAACCATTTGGCACTGATGTTTGACTGCAGAGATATTGTCCTTGAAAAAAAGAAGAGCTCTGAGGCCAAAATGTTAGGAAACTTCAGAAATGTTTTGAAATGCTTAGAAGAAACCCTTAACAATAAAATCAGTGAAAATGATGAAAAAAATGTTTGCTTCTTTCTCTACGTTTTATCTGTTTTTGTTATTGCCTTTGTTGTGTGTATGTGGAGTGTGTATTCTTGCTTTTGGCACATGTGTCATGTAGTTCAGGGTTCGCTGTTCTCTGTCACCCACTTATTCACAGAACAAATATTTTCGTCTAAAGCTGGGATAATAGCAGCTTGACTGAAGGATTGTCTCCTCTCTGTTCATAACACATCACCATACTACACAGATCTGTCCGTTTTAAAGCAATCTGACCCACATCAACCTCTCCTTTTTCACTGTTTGAGTACAAAAGACATGCTCCATTCAGAACAATCGGTCATTGTAGAGTATATTCAATGGGTTAGTTCAAGGAATCCTGAACTCCAAACAACAACAACTTAAAAACAAGCTCCTCAAGGCCACCATCAGTAAAATGCTGTTTTGGCAAAGGACTTGTGCTTGTATAGTGGCGGTGTTGTCTTTTCAACCCCTCAAAAGACCTGTGTACCACTCCTAAGTTACACATTCACACCGCATTCACATACTATTGGCAGAGGCTGTTATACTGTAGCAGAGGATCATCCGTATGGACTAATCCCATTCAGGTGTATTAACATACCACTGACCGCAGCGAGTAACTCCAACTGCCAACCTCTACCACCAAGCCACAGTCACCCCTTTTACAGCATTTTGCCTCCAGCAGGGTCTAAAATCGAGCAGGGGGCTTCTACTGCTGGGGACAACAAACTACAAGTAAAATTATAGCCTCCATCATTCAGACATGAGGTGCGTGAACTTATCTGCTTCGAAAATTAATTATTTTACCCTAGCTAACAGGGTAAAGTGAATGTCAAACAAGGCCACAACTTGGACGCCTCTCTGCAGAAAATTTAGCAATCAAGATCATTCCAACTACTTTCTAGATGCAGAAGTTAAACGCATAAATGAACAAAATGGTGGAGTCAAAAGAGAATTATATCTGCATGACGTGTGAGAGGAAAAGTTTCTCAAACTTCGGCTACAATAATCATACCTTTGCAGGGTCTGAGAAGGAGAAATGTGGACCAGAAATCGCAGGCGCAGTACAGCATGTTCAGGTTTCATCTAACCCAGGCCCTCTTCTTTCCAACTCCATCATGCCAGTTGTGATGAAGGGTTGGATACCTTCAGTCCTCATAAAAGGGTGAGACCGATACAGTTTTTTTCAGGGCTGATGCTGACACTCATCATGGGTAATTCATGAGACTGATAACCAATATTCAGGGCTGATATTCAGGATATGAAAAACTTCCTGTCAAAATTAAACATTTGGAATATCACAAACTTCAACCCTTAACTTTTATAAATGCAGTCAGTAAGTCTTTAATCAAAACAGATATACACGCGGGAGATAACAGTTAACTTCCAGTACATCTGTGTGACACAGTCAAGTGATGTCTGGTCAATTAGATAGTGTTGCTGGCAGGACATTAGGTGGGACAGAGCGGTGCAAAATAAGAAATCCAATGTAATAAACACACTGGGAGCAGAGCCAAAGAAGCACAAACAATTAGTTATATTGGCATTCTGCAAAATAAAAGGCAAGTAAACATAATCAGACATGTGCTAAATATCAGCCCCCAAAAAACTTCCAAGACCAAGATAAGATGTGATCTCTCCACAGAAGCCTTCCATATTGGTCACTGGTTATACTGGTAATACTGGTTGGAGAACAGAGCAAAGTTGTTTGTTTGGTTGGAGGAAATGGGTGGAAGACTGGATTTATTGAGTAGTTTGTAGGAAACCTGGCCCTGATGCAAGGATTCTTTGGATTCATGCTGCTGCAGAGTGTTTATGACCGGTAGATACATGCAGGTGTTAATGTTAACTTTGGTGAACTTTGAACGGAATTCTCTAATTTATAATAATATCAATAATAATCAATAATAATCTTTATTGTCCCCAGGGGGAAATTTGCTTTCACAGGTCTTATTCTAACACAAAACAGGAGTACAGACAACACATACCATATGACACAAAACATATTACAAGGACAGGCCATGAGAACCCCCCCCCCCCCCCCAGAATACACAGAGACCATCCTAGCGGTGAGGCAGTTTAAGCTTGTTTACTGTGGCGATGGCTGTTGGGATGAAACTCTTACTGAACTGAACCCTCTACCACCTGGGTAATCTGTATCTGCGGCCTGATGGCATGAGGTCAAAGTGACAATGCAGAGGATGCTAATTGTCGCTTATTATTGAGAGTGCCAAGCGGGTGATGGCCTTATTGTTCAGATCAGCAAGGGTGGGTGTGGGAAGTCCGATGACCTTGGAAGCAATACGGGTGATATTGTACAGTTTGTTTCTATTTGGCATGGACAGTATGGTAAAGTAACATGGTGAGCAGTACAACAGAATGGGTTGGATAATGCTTTTGTACAGTAACAGCAAAAGATGAGGGGCAACAGATAGTGACCTTAACCTACGGATGACATGAAGTCGTTGCTGGAAACGTTTATGGATGGAAGTGATTGTTATCAAAGTTAATATCTCTGCTAGCGGCTCACCTCTGATTATGATGGTGTGTATTTAGTGTGCTCGGGTCTCTTTAAAGAGTCTTTGTCATAATAGACCAATGCTATCCAAACTGCAAACATAACCAGAGCTATCTCCCTGAAAGCAGAAGAAAATATAATAATGCCAAAGTACTTTTCTTTTCTGCTGGCAAGTCAAGAACAGCAACAATTATATCTCACAAACAAATAAAATTAAATTAAATTTGAGTTTGCTGAGAGTTGTGTTTTTGATAAGGGTTTGAAAGCGTTCAACTTTGCGGGCTAAAGTTCATGACCGAGGTAATTAATTTAAGTATAAGAGAAAATTGTGTTTTTGTGCGTTCATGGAACTGCAGAGTGCATGGACTGTGTTTGGTGACATCAAAATAACCCTATTGTAGCCTCTCTCTACTCAACCAGACACACACACACTGACACACACACACAGATATACACACACTCACACACAGTAGCCCTGCATGACCACTTAATCCCTCTCTGTCCCTGCTCTCCACACTACACCGCTCTGCTCTCACTGTTTGCCCTCGCTGCCTCTTCTCTGCCCCACTTCTTTCTCTCTCTTAATCTCTCTTTCTCTATCCGTCGTTTTTTTTCTCCTCCTTTTTTTTTTTTTTTTACTTTTACCTCCTCCACTTTCTCTGACCTGCCATCTCACCATCTGATCTCATCTGCTACTTCTTATAAGGTCATCTCTTCCCTCTCCACTACTGTATTTTCTCAGGGAGCGAGGGCAGCGAGAGGCCCTTTCTCTTTGATTCATCTCTCCATCAGGAGGTGAAGGGCCCGGGTGGGTGAGGTGACACACTGGATTAGGGGGTCGCATTCAGTCTAGATGTGGGGTCATCCGCGGGGGTCCTCAGGGGCCGCTTTTGTGGATTGTCGCCCACTGATCTGTCATGGCCAGCCAAAACACATTTCAAGGGCCTTTTGATCCACCCCAACACTCCCCACTGGAAGCACAACACACATGCATGTACAATCACACTCAGGTACATTAAAATAGCTGGGTCAGTGAGAGTTCTGAGGACAATCCCAGGACACCATCAGACAGAGTAACCATTGTGTTACTCTGAAAACGTACTGCTCAAACTTGGTGATAAAGATACAGTACTCCATGTTGGGAATGTACTTTATAAGCTTCTGTTAACTGAAGAGTCCAACAGGAGCCTAAGTACTGAGCATATGTTCTGTACACCGCAGGAAATGGACAGCATAAGGCTGACATGATGAGAGACAACATCTTATGAATAGATGTGAGCTGTTTCTTTATCTAAGAGAGGACAGGTTGCAAAGTGAATCCATGAGCAGAACGGCCTCAATGTGGGCCTAAAGCGAATCGACATGGAGGTTGAGGTTGACCATTCTGTGAGGATTTGTTGTGTTTGTATAATTTACCTGATAATCTGACCCCCTCACTCATTTTCCTTGAGATGCGCTCTTTATTTATTCCTGTTTCAATAGTAAAAATTAGTTGTATCCTACAGCTCAGGTAACCATGTACTCTCTCATGATCCAGGTGAATGAACTTCCACTTGTCCACCTGACCTACATCACCAGGGATTCTCCATGCTAATTGGCTATCGTATGATTCTCGTGGGTTTAGATTTTTCAACTCCTGTAAATAGGCAAATGTATCAAGTTACCTGTCGAATGGATCACATTATTCATGCGTATAACCAGTTTAACTCTTGATAACTGCGCTGCCTCATTTGCATCATTTGAACTCACCTCTAACGGCATCTTAAAGTTACTATAACTTCACAAGCATTTCTATAGATGGAAATGTAATTGAGGCCTCTCGGTGGATCTAGCAAGTTGCGTTCCCAAACAATTGATGAACACAGTTTCCCACAATGCATTTATATTGCTGAACTCCCAGTCCAAAGCCGGAACAGGGGAACATGAGCAGAATGCTAAGGCCTGTCTAAGGCCCCGTTTATATGTACCCGGTTAATTTTAAAAACGGAGACATTAACCATCGTTTGCACCTTTCATTTAGACGCAAACAGAGAAATTGCCCTTGAAAACAATGCTTTTTAAAAACTGTGGCCAGAGTGGAGATTTTGGAAGAATCCATTTGCACATTTGGATGTAAATGAAGAAAAACAGCAGATTATGTGCAGGAAAGAAGGAAGGGACGTTGTTGTTGCTGCTTTGTGGGATTCTAATTGGCTAACTCAGGCTTAAGCTTTCCGCGACACTGCCACCCATGTTTGATATGCTCTTGACGGCATATAAACATGGGTTAATGTGAACGAAAATGGTTCTAAAAATGTAATGGTTTGTGCACAGTTTTTTTTTTTTTGTAAATGGAGAGGGTACGTATAAACGTAGTCAGAATCTGTTGAAGGTGTGTGCATGCCAAAGAATATTGATCACCAAATCCCATTGTTTAGGTGTGTCTGACTAATGCAATAAATCTATATTTTAAACACCATGTTATGGTAGTGAATCACTCTTAATATCTTACCAAACACAAATCTGCATTTGGAATTGAACCTTTTTCAGTCCCGCCTTGCCCATCATCACTAAGCCTTATCTCATACTTCATCGGCGAAAAGACATGTTTGTCATCTCAGCCAGTCCAGCTGCGTCTTCTTTAATCCACCTTCCTCCTCCTCTCCTCTCTAAAGCCCTGGTTTTCTTTGTGGCGTCTATTGTATGCTGAATCCAATCTAAAGGAAGGGACAGTATACCCACAGAGTGCACTTGAGAGCTTTTGCTTTTTCCTCCAATACATACAAGAGGAGAACTCTTAATAAATGACTTTATATTTAGATCATCACAAGTGTACTTATAGTATGAGGATGGGGAAGCGTGTGACCTTATGCTTTCAGTGTTTATTTTTGCTCTTTTACATTTTCCAATGTTTCTGAACTCTTACATTAGGATTTGACTTCTCAATGCTGGGGCCATGTAGTGAGAAACGAATTGTATTTGAATTAGAGTTATGAGCACCGCTGATATGAGTGCAGCTGCCCATTTTCAGTCATGAATCTGGACGTGCAACAACATTTATCACATTTGGTTGTCTTCAGGTACAAGTCAGACTCGGACAGGTTTGAATGAGTACTCTACACTCACCGGCCACTTTATTAGGTACACCATGCTAGTAACGGGTTGGACCCCCTTTTGCCTTCAGAACTGCCTCAATTCTTTGTGGCATAGATTCAACAAGGTGCTGGAAGAATTCCTCAGAGAGCTTGGTCCATATTGACATGATGGCATCACACAGTTGCCGCAGATTTGTCGGCTGCACATCCATGATGCGAATCTCCCGTTCCACCACATCCCAAAGATGCTCTATTGGATTGAGATCTGGTGACTGTGGAGGCCATTTGAGTACAGTGAACTCATTGTCATGTTCAAGAAACCAGTCTGAGATGATTCCAGCTTTATGACATGGCGCATTATCCTGCTGAAAGTAGGCATCAGAAGTTGGGTACATTGTGGTCATAAAGGGATGGACATGGTCAGCAACAATACTCAGGTAGGCTGTGGCGTTGCAACGATGCTCAATTGGTACCAAGGGGCCCAAAGAGTGCCAAGAAAATATTCCCCACACCATGACACCACCACCACCAGCCTGAACCGTTGATACAAGGCAGGATGGATCCATGCTTTCATGTTGTTGACGCCAAATTCTGACCCTACCATCCGAATGTCGCAGCAGAAATCGAGACTCATCAGACCAGGCAATGTTTTTCCAATCTTCTATTGTCCAATTTCGATGAGCTTGTGCAAATTGTAGCCTCAGTTTCCTGTTCTTAGCTGAAAGGAGTGGCACCCGGCATGGTCTTCTGCTGCTGTAGCCCATCTGCCTCAAAGTTCGACGTACTGTGCGTTCAGAGATGCTCTTCTGCCTACCTTGGTTGTAACGGGTGGTTATTTGAGTCACTGTTGCCTTTCTATCAGCTCGAACCAGTCTGGCCATTCTCCTCTGACCTCTGGCATCATCAAGGCATTTCCGCCCACAGAACTGCCGCTCACTGGATATTTTTTCTTTTTCGGACCATTCTCTGTAAACCCTAGAGATGGTTGTGCGTGAAAATCCCAGTAGATCAGCAGTTTCTGAAATACTCAGACCAGCCCTTCTGGCACCAACAACCATGCCACGTTCAAAGTCACTCAAATCACCTTTCTTCCCCATACTGATGCTCGGTTTGAACTGCAGGAGATTGTCTTGACCATGTCTACATGCCTAAATGCACTAAGTTGCCGCCATGTGATTGGCTGATTAGAAATTAAGTGTTAACGAGCAGTTGGACAGGTGTACCTAATAAAGTGGCCGGTGAGTGTATAATGTAATATGTTACATAATTAACCTATTTATATAACCTATTTATATAACTTTCACTTGTTATGTAAGAGACCATGCAGTGAACTTTGAGGAATGTCCTGAAACAGGTAAAATCAAACATACCTGGATTGAAGTCATGTGTTTCTTTGGCCAATCCTTCTGCCCAGAACGTCATATAAGCGAGACTTTCCCCCAACATCCACCATCTCTTGACTCCAACTGCATATCGAAGCTGAGGACAGTGCACCAAGATGATGCTGAATAAGGTTTTACAGTGTTAGATTTTCAAGTGTTAGGTCTGTAAATGAGAGCAATACATGAGGACATGAGGACCCTTCTGTACAGGTAACCTGATATTACGTAAAAATTTACAGATCTGATCTGTGGTCAATGTGACTAATAACTCTTTTCCTAATAAAAATCAGTCTAGCCTTGAGCAAAGCAAGTTGTTTTTTTACCAAATGTTTGTCCTGGACACTTCAAAATAAAAGAGAGAACAATTATAATGACAATAAAAAGATGTATATATAAATATAAAACAGATGAAAAAACAGATCTTTCACTATGACCATCCTTTATTTTCATGCTTGTGATATAAATAAAGATAATTTGTATCCAATACAGCCCTCAACTTTTCCTTTTCCTGTGAGTTGTGCCTGAGTTGGATGTAAAGTTTGTAGGAAAAATTGGGGACCTTTCTATTCTCCACATTTTTGTTCTGTGTATGAGTCGTGCTGGTTCTGCTGGTGGTAGGCATGGTCACATCTGTCAAAATGTAAGCCAATATGAAAATCAAGCTGTCCTCGAACCATCACCAGGTGGACCACTTGGTAGAATCACACCATAGGTTAACAAGAACAAAACAAATATATTTTTAAATGACTTTGCACTGAGTTTAACATACTTATTTATTTCATATTCAGTGTCCACCTTTCTGTTTTGCTGAAATCTACGTACTGCATCTTTAATTTTGTGAATTGTGCAATGCGGGACCTGAAAAGACCAAGTGTGACTGTGTTTATTTTTGCGGAAATTCGCCAGATTCAAAACAAGCTGTACAGACTGATCAAATTCATATAAAAGTAAGACTTGGATTTCTTAATTTATTGTTCAGTTTTTTTTAATTTTGCGAGTTCTAACTGGGCTGGTCAAGAGAACATACAGGTTTTCAGTACCTTTTTAAACACATCTATTGGTGTCTCAAAATCAAACACACAACTTAGTCTGTGTGTCCATGTTGTGTAGTTTGTATTTAGAGCATGCCTCTTGTGTGTGTGTGTGTGTGTGTGTGTGTCCATGGATATGTCCATGTGTGTATCTGTGTGTGTGGCTTGTGGCTTAAAAGGGCCCTGGCGTACTTAAAGGTGCATTACAGGTCTCAGGCTAATCCACAGTGATAGCTAAAGTGCTCTGTGTCGACCACATGAGACTGTGTGTGTATGTGAGTGTGTGTGTCTGTTTTGTGGGAGGGTGCAGTGAAGACAGCCTATTATGTGGCCACCATACACATTATTCTGCATAAATTTTGTATTGGGCCACAACTCTCCCGGCCATGTACAAAGATGGAGGCAGAGGAGAAGGCAGTGAGAGTTCAACAGAGGACGGAACGAAGAAGGAGGTGATGAGGAGGAGTGGAGGAGCCAAGGATGGACAGAAGGAAGAGTAAGGGATTAAAAAAAAAGATCTTTAAAAGAAAGAAGAAAAAAAGTGAAGGGTTAGTTGTGGGAAGGAGGACAGAGAGGTTGAGGGTCAGAGTGTGTGTGGGGAAAAAGAGCCTCTCTGTGTTCCTTTACTTGTCTACTGCATTTATTATGTAGATTCTCCTTCTTGTTTCTCTCTGTCCTCCTCCCTTCAGCTCCTATTTATTTTGATGCACTGTGTTTCTTAAGTGCCTACGGTAAACACTGCCACGCCATCTGAGAGCCAGTGTGTGTACATGCATGTGTGTAGCACAGATGTGTGTTTTTATTGTATATTTGCTTGTGACTATGGGGTGTTTACAGTTTGTGCTTGTGAACCACGCAGGGTATTTGTGTGTAGATTGTATGAGTGATGGTATGTCTATATATTGGTACTGTGTGTGTATCAGTGTGTATTTAACTCTTTTGGTAACACACAGATCTGTAGCTGATCTTTATCTCTTTATAAATCCAAATTATTTATCACTTTTTCCTATTTTAGTGGTTGAAGAAGTTCTTTATTTTAAGCATTGGGAAGATCTAAAGCTCAAACAAAATATCAACATTTTTTGGACGTCATCTTTAAAACTTTTATACAATTAATGACAGAGTTAATTGCAGGAAAGGGTTGGTAAAGGGATGAGATATAGTATTTTGCCCGTAGGGGGCGCCAAAATCAACACAAATAGAAGACTCCAAAAAACTTCTGTGGCTTTTCTTTTTTTTTTTTTAATATGAACCAAGATCTTTTACAGACAGATGACTTTTCTTATTATTAATATGAAATCAATTTAAAAGCTTAAAATGTTTGCTGTGAGAGTTTGGGTTTGTTGCTTTGAAACAAGAGTATTTTGCATTTTTCAGTAAAAGAATACGTGTTCATTAAAGGTCCTGTTAGAAGTTTTTTCGACATTTGTAAAACAGACTGAGATTCATTTCAATGCTTTTTTTATGATACAAATAATCAAACAAGACCACAACCACTAGCCACAATATTGACGTTTTCTATAATGTCAGTTTTACAGCCTCAAACTGGTGTGAGGAAGTAGGTGCCAGCAAAGCAGCAAAAGAAACAGTCCTGTTTTACAAGTCCTGTGTAAAATAATCATATATAGTGATACATTCAACTGTCAAAAGTCAACAGAATAAGAGTATTTGTCTGAAGACACTAATCCAGGAAGACATGGTAAGCAAAGATATTTTTGTCACAAGGAAATGCCAAAGTTGACACAAACCTGATATTCCTCAGAGAGAGCTAAGAAATGTGGGACAATTGGAAGAAAAAAATGTTGGTTTTGCAGTTTAGCTGGCTGTTAAATCTGTTACAGCACTCTGATTTAAGGCAGTGTGCTACTTTATCACTTTTGAGGTCAATGTGGAGATCACATTGGCAGGGGGACTATAATTGTGGGTGAGACAAAGCAGAAAAGCAAGATATCTCAGGAAATGTATTGATTGTGTGGAAGTCCATTTCCAACAGCAAAATGAATACATTGATAAATAAAAAATAAATAAATAAATCAGTTTAGTATTTGCAGAAGTATACTCAGAAACTGTGGACCTTTTTATGTGAAAATAAGTTATAGTTATGAGACAAAAAGTCACAATAGACAGTAAGTCGTTGTCATGTTTAAGTATTACATTAAACATGTAAGCTTCCACAGTCCTATTGGTCAGATATGCATGCACATACACAAGAAATTAAGTAAACTAATACTTTTTATGCACATCATTTAAAATGACCTTAACATGCACTTATATGTACATGCCGACATTAAACATTTAAAGCACACACACGAGACTGTGAAAAAAAAAAAGCCTCAACAGTGAAGAGTTCAAAGGATGTTGATAAATGAAAAGTTTAATACTTACATGTTTGTTAAGGGTTTGTTCGGGATGAAAAATGATGGTGCAGTTGAAACTCCAGTGTGGTGGGTTTTTATTCACACCAACTCCCCAAAACAGCAAACAGTGGCAAAAATATTTACAGTGCAGGAAA